ATGAAAAAAATTGTGTTGAAATTTCCTGTGTCAGTTATTGGTAGTTGGTGCCAAATATTAATTCAATGGAATTTTCTCACATCCAATTTCCTTTTCATTAACATAAAAAAGCAAACACATAAACTTTCAGAGTGAGTTTATTTGAGACATTGGTGCTGAAATTTTATTAATAGGTTGTAAAAAATCATTCCAGTGTAGACTAAAATCTTGGGAACTATTTCAAGTCCAAGATACTTCAGGGATTCTTTGTTTGTTGTTCACTCTCCACACACTTAACTTTTAGGAACCTTGTGGTATACATTACTGAATAAGATTTAAAGATCTTACTATAGGCCTGTGATTTACTCAGTATTGGAACAAGCAAACATAACATCTACCTGTACCACTAAATCACTATGTACTTTCTTAAGTAGACATTATTCCCCAGCTGTCTATCTCAAGACAGGTTAAGTTCCCTTTCAAAGTAATTATGGCATTCTTGTCATTCTGGTCTATTTAGTCAGCTTAATTTCTTCTTGGCCATATATTGTGGCTATAAGTAAACCTATAGCATAGAGAGAACTGAGTATTTTAAGAATAAAACTTGGCACTTTGACTTCTATTTGTGAAATAGGTCAACTTGTAAAAGGTCAAAAAGATAGTATGTGGCAGTGGTAGGACTTAAAATCAAGCCTCTCTATGAAAAATCTGGTGCTCTTTCCACCGGAACCATGTAATGTCTTTGGCCCAAAGTCACACACCTGCCTAATTAGTAGGGTCAAGATTTAAAGCTATTGTCCTCAGATTATAACTTTACATCTTCTCATTACAGCCTAACATCCTTGATTATAGAGATAGCCCAAAAAAGAAAGAATTTTGCCCTTCTCTACAGAGACGGCAACTGAAGGGACTTCTGTACCCATCTCTTTTCCAAATTCCCTTTCCTACCTCTGAAGAGTATGAGGCAGGGTGAGAAAACCATTGATTACAATTAGCAGCTCATTAGTAACTACCGAGTAATTACTGGTTAGCATTCAGATATTGGCATATACCTGATAAGGCACTTAATGAATTTTCCATCAGTCTTCCTGGAAAAGATATATGTTTCTCTGTGCCACAACTCTTTTCCCTGTCCCTTTTCTGGTTTCGATTGTTAAATTCCTTCCGAAAATTAAAGGTGAATTTTTGAAAGCCTTGAATGCACATTGTTCAGCCTATTTTTTTTCCTTTTCTCTCTCTCTCTCTCTCTCTCTCTCTCTCTCTCTCTCTCTCTCTCTCTCTCTCTCTCTCTCTCTCTCTCTCTCTCTCTCTCTCCTCTCTCTCTCTCTCTCTTTCTCTCTTTGGGTCCAAGAAGACATTGGTAATTTGTTCTTTTCTTTCTCCAGTCTACAGGACCACAATTCTGAAAAATAAATGGTCTGCCACCTTTAACTATCTCACTATATAAAAATAAAAGTTATGGGGATATTTCTAGCATTCTAGCAGCTGATAAAATCGGGTTTTTTAGGATAAATTAACTAATATTGTACTGAAGTGACTGATTGAATTAAATCATTTCTTTCAAAATGGAAACACATAAATGTATATATGATCCCAACCTGAGTATGTCTAACTGCAGTTCCCCTCACTCACTGGAGAGATCAGAACAATTAGAAAATGTTACCACTGAAAATCTATGAAGAGAGTCATTCTTAGTTTCATAAAATATGAAAATCTCCCATTTGGGACTGGACATCTTGGAATACATGAGCCAAATGATGTCAAATAAACTCCCTCCCCATACTGTTAATGTAGAAGTTAAGGTGTTGCCAACTTCTATCCAAAAACATACAAGGAGGCTAAAGAAGAAATTTCAAGAAAAGGAGAAATTGTGTGTATGTGTATGCGTGTGTATACACACACACATATATATAAAAGGCATGTATAAATGTATATAAGAAATGTGTACACACACACATATATATACATGTGTACACATACACAGTGAGAGAGAGAGAGAGAGAGAGAGAGACAGAGAGACAGAGAGACAGAGAGACAGAGACAGAGGGACAGAGACAGAGGGACAGAGACACAGAGACAGAGTCTTGCATTGGGTAGAACTGGTCAAATGTCCCCAGTACTCCCTTGCCCAGGGATCCGATACCCTCTGTGCTGTTCCTTGGATACCCTAGGCTTGAATCTTAAATTTTCCATAAGGGTCAGTTATCCCACAGGAATCGTTGGCTATTTCAAAGTGCTTCTTTTACTCTCTCTAAACTCCTCTTCCCCCATAAACATTCTTATGTATATTGCTCTTTAAGGCTTACAAATATCTTTGTTTACAGTCATATCAAAACTTACAGCGCAATGCCCTCACACTGTAGAAATCTAATAACTAATTCCTCCTAAGTTGTTTTGAGATCAAAGTTGTCTTGATACATTACCCTTTTGTGATATAGCTGTATTCTAAGAGCAGATGCCTGGAAACAGCAACCTAAATAAATACCTCTCCTTCAACATTTCCAGGTTCCTGTGATAGATGAGCAAAAGCGGTTTTAAATAAGAGTCTGCTCCTTCCTAAATTACACTGTGTAGATTATCACATATTCTGCTTATTCATGATGCTATCCACGAATATGTGTTTATATGTTCTTGCACATATTTGTAAATACATTGAATGCGTATATCCTAAGAATACTCATGTTCTTAACGTAATGCATAAATACAATCAGTTCTCTGTAAGTGAACAGAAGATGTTATAATTAGATATAATCTTAGAAACCATCTCATTGAAACCTAGACTAGGACTAGAATTGAGTGCTGAGATTTAATATGGTTAGTTTATGAGAGAGATTTTAATTCTGTTCCAATGAACCAACATACTGAAGGGACTCTGCTGTGTGTAAACTATTTATAAGTTATCATTCAGTAATACACACACACACACACACACACACACACACACATACGCCATAATCATTCATCTCAACATCCTCATCAACCCAATCTTTTTGAGATCATCATTAATCCCCTTTGCATTATGTGCAGATGTAACCCGTACATCTAACTTGGGTCTTCTTTTTATTAAAGTTTCTCATCTGTTTCTTTGGGATCTACTGTCATCTCTTTGCTGCTGATTCCCAGAACTACTGTCTCACCATCATTTCTTCTCTGAGGTCTAGTCCTACATCAAATAAATGTTTGATAGAAATCTCCACCAGATCTTCCACAGGAATCTCAGACTCATGCTGTCCAAGACCTAAGTTATAATCTTTGCTGAAAACCCACTAGACTTCCTAATTTCCCTTTTTCTGTCCTTCTTGTTACCTAGATTTCTCACCCCAGAGTCATTAGCAACATTTTCTTCTTTGTTACTTCCAAGTCTTTTCAGTTCCAATTCCACAACATCTCTCAAATCCATCCCATTCTTTCCACTCATAACTATCACCATATTTCAGGTCCTCATTATTACTTCTCAGTGGGACTACTACAATACCTTCCTAACTGAACTCCCTATCTCTGGCATCTATCCTCTTCAACCCATTATCTACAGAGCTGCCAAAATGACAGTACTAAAGGATAGGTCTAATCATGTCACCATCTCTTTCAGTGAGTTTTAGTGGCTTGTTATCACCTCTAGGAAAAAGCCAACTCTTCTGTTGGGACTTCAGTACATGATTCCAACTTATATAGCGTGTCCCAATAGTCTCAGTGCAGTTTTTGGCTTACAATTGTACTACACCTTTTAGGACACCTTGAATTTCAGATTAAGTTGTTATGCTTTCCCCCTCCCCATGCACAATATGCTCCAGAGAAACTAGCCTATTTTTGTTAGTTTTTATGTTGCATTTCATTTCTCTCTTCTATGATTTTGTACAGATTATCCCCAATGTGAGGAAGGCTCTCCCTTTTCACTGCTAACTTTTAGAATCCCTAGGTCCCTTTAAGCTCAGGTCAAGTACTACTTCCTATATTTTGTCTTTCTTGAGCCACCCTCCCCCTCTAATTATTAGCAGACTTTCCCTGGATTACTTAGTACTGACTTTGTGAATATTGTACATGTCTTTATCTGTGTACATGTTGCTTCCTTCAAAGGAAAGGAGGAAGGTAAAGCCCAGAGAGATGACTTGCTAAGCTCATACATCTGATAATAAGTTGAAAATGGATGTGAACCTCAATTTTCTCACTTAAAGTACAGAGCTCTCCAGACTGAACAACATCCTTCTGCTTTTCCTTTTAAGCAGCTTGAGGTTCCATTTGAATTTTTTTTTAGGCAGTTGGGGTTAAGTGACTTGCCCAGGGTCACACAGCTAGTAAGTGTCAAGTGTTTGGTCTGAGGCCAGATTTGAACTCAGGTCTTGATTCCAGGGCCAGGTCTATCCACTGTACCACCTAGCTGCCCCTTCTCTTGTGGTTTGAGATGCTTACTATCTCCTCACAATTATTAAGTAGAAGAATGTTGTGGGTACAATCAATTATGCAAACTTTAAAACTGGTTTTATAATTTTCTATTCTTCTATATTAGAAGTCTGTCCTTGTAGGTCGATACGATAGAAAAAAAGTTTTTTCATTTATTGTAGGTTTATCATTATATTATTAGTAAAGAATTTAGTTTTGTGGATCCTATTTGGCCAATACAAACTAATGCTATCAGTTTACAATAATGGCTGCTTCTTTAAAGCTATATTTTCTTCAGTCTCAATTCACTGATTGACTATGTAGATGTAAATTAGCAAGAAAAAAATCCAATGATTATATAAGCAACAGATGAGCTTATAGTAAAGGAAAAAAAATGAAATGCAGTACAGCTATTTCATACTCATAAATTACCTCTTAGGTTGCCAGATTAATCCATGCTATACTAATCCTAATTTTATCAATATAACATTACAATAAAAGTGAATAATGCAACTTTAATTAAAATATATTTTGAAAAGAGGGCAATAATATTAAATAAAAATAGCATGTCTTTAAAATTAACTGTGTACATCTTTGAGGTAAACACAAGGAGCACAGTAAATTCTTGGAGCGATTGGACCAACCTTTGTGTCTATGTGAGCCATCCATGTTGCTAAATTCGATGTGATTCTCATCAGCCCAATAGAGCCTACTGTTGACATAATCTATTGTGAGTGCCATAGGTCTAGAAATCTTTGTTTCTATGACAACACCCTGATTGGTTCCATCCATCCCAACTCGGCCAATGTGAGGATATTCGCAGCAGTCAATCCAGTACAAATACCTAGGAAAGAAAATCAATAACTACTTTGTTTATAGAAGCTCAAGCATCATCATGCAAGCAAATTTCACTTATTTACTTAGCAGTTTTCAAATTAATTTTCTGACATCTCAATCTGACAGCTCCTGAGAAACATTCTTTGATGGCACCTATATCAAATGAGATAATATTTATAAAAAATGCTTAGCCCAGTACCCGGTACATAGTAGAGGCTCTCTCTCTTCTTTTCTATATCTTTGAATTTTGACTGTAATGTTTATGTGCCACATTTATCCACCTCTTATTTTTCAACTTTTAAAACTTGGATAAATATCTAAATGACTGCATAAAAATATTTTCTCAGTATGCTGCCTTCTCAGAGGCAGGTAAAAACTACAGAGAAATGAAATATAAACTGGCATACACATATCACACTTTGGATCAACTCAAACAACCAAAAGTGTTGTTCCCCTCTGCTTCTCCCACTCCTGTGTAGCTTGTAGGTATTCTCATTTAATTACTAGGAAGTGAATTTCACTTTATTTTGTAGAAGAGACTTAGTGATTGAGTTCAACTATTTCATTTTGGAGATGAGTTGCTCAAGAGAGATGAATTAACTTGCTCAAGATTATAAAACTAGTAAGAACACTTGGGATTCATATCCAGGTATTCTAAGTTCAAATGCAATGTTTCTGTTACTCAAAGAGTAACATTCCTAGCATTTAGATTAGCTTGTTGAAAGTCCAACCATTCTGTTCTGTGGGATGTGACCCCCTTAAAGGCAAGGGCATTTTTTTCTTTTGTTTTCTCATTATTTAGTATAACAACTTCCATAAATTAAACACTTAATAAATGTTCAAATTGAAATTATTTAATCCAACTGCAAAGTAAGTAGCAAAATGAAGATGGTTACCTTGATCTGACATTAAAAAAATGAATGGAAGACAAATATTTTCTCATAACTTTTACAGAATACGGGAGAAAAGGGTTATGCTTTTGATTTCCCATAAGTCTTTATTTTTTTTCAGTCACATAACTAAATAGTTTTTTAAACATTCTCACTCTAACCACCTTTACTATGCAATTACAATCCAGCATTTTCTCTTCCTGGAAAAATAAGTACTTTAGCTTGTACCATCTGCAGTTACAAATTCAGAAGACTCCATCACCAGAAGAGTGGGGAAACCATTCTACATGATTAAAATCTGTCTATAACACCCTTAAGATTCCATTTTGAAATATTCATAATAAAAGGAAAAGACTTGTTTTTAAAAATTTCTGCTAAGAAAAGGGTTCAAATTGAAAACATTCTAAACTCAGGGGCTTAAAAAGTCTATTTGGTTCTAATTTAAATCTGATCTTGGAACAGTGAAGAGACACACACTGAGGCCACAAGGAAGATTTCCTTAGTAAGAAATGATTGAACATGGAATCACCTTATGCTGCAAGCATCCTTTTTATATCTGACTGGGGAGTGGAGTGCGAAAAGAGAGAGGAGAGGAATTGAGTCAGGCTAGTTTGAGACTGTCCCAGGAAAAAGCTACAGCAGAAGTTAGCAGTGGGAAGCACTCAAAGTAATCTTGCCAGGACAACTGTCCCAAATAAGATTATTAAACAAAAGTATAACTGAGTACATAAAGAGATATGATCAATGATAAGAGATGGAGTAGGCTATAGTTCTTTACTGTCTAATGAGGAAGAGAAAAAAAGATAGGTGCTTTGCACTGATGTAGACATGTCTGAATCCCTCCTTTTTAAGACCTCTAACACCATTTACTAGAAGCTTGATGAGCAGAGTTTCTCTGTCTGATCTTACCTATCCTTGAGTGCAGGGGGACTCCGATCCCTATTTTTCAGACAGGAATCTGTGGTCCAAGCCAGCACTATGACAGACTTCCAGGGATGTCAATAATTTCCTTCAATTCTTCCCCAAGGGCCCATGATTTCACTGGGGTTGGGGTACAGATTACAATCACTTTATGACTTAATATCCTACTATTGATGGTTTTGAATTATTATCCTGTTGCCAATTTGGTGATGAGGTTCTTTAAATTTTACCTAGTTAAATATTCAGACAGCAAATATAATTCTACCACTCATTCTGAACTCAAAATCCTGAGCCTCAGTTACCTCAACTGTAAAAAACAAACAAATAGTTGGCCTTTCAGGTCTTTTCCTAAATCACTAAATCTGTGTTTCTACAATCCTTTTAAAGTTAGTAGGAGCTGACAGAGTGTACATATCACTGGCATACTGTTAGCAGGGCTGAGATTGGAATCTAGGTTTTTAATCCAAATTAAGTACTCTATTCACTATATCATACTGCCTGTTCTAAGCATACCACTTCCTTAATCAAAATTCCTAAATGGACCACTATGCCTGTAGGACAAAAAAATATTTTAAGTTGACATTTCTGGTTACCTATAATCTGATTCCACATTACCTTTCTAGCTTCAGGCCACCCTCCTCCCCTTCAAACACTCTACATTCTAAGTAAATTGGACCTTAATTATTCTCTATTATCATCTTTCCCTCACTTCCCTTCATGTATTTGAACAGGCCATCCTCCCATGCCTAAAATATACCCCCTCTACATATCTTTCTTTTGAAATCCTCTTTGTTCAAATCCAGATGCTACTTCCTCCATGAAGCTTCCACTAATTCAATAGTATTTCTCCCTCCTCAAGTCAGTCAACAAGCATTTGTTAAGTACTACATGCCAGATGCTGTACTAGGTACTGAGGATAGGAAGAAAGAATAAAAATAGTCCCTGCTCTCAAGAAACTCCTAACATGTGTCCAAATCTTGCTTTTCCCCTTATCACACATTACCAGCCACTATTCTTGTATCATAATTAATCTTGTACATGTTGGTCTCCTTATGAAATTATAAGTTCTTTGAGAGTGGAAGTGCCTGCTCAATAACAGTAATTGATCCAGTTCAGATAGAAAAGAACAGTCAATCCAGCCTTGAAATGCACTGAATCTTGAATTGTTATGAATTACAAGGGTATAGATGACATCAACATGTCATTGGTATATCTCAGAACTTTCTAGCTATGTGACCCTGGGCAAGTCATTTAATTTTTTCCCCTTAGTTTCTTCATCTGTAAAATGATAATAATGATAGCACCTACCTCCCAGAGTTGTTGTAAGGATCAAATGAGATAATTCTAAAGCATTTAGCATAGTGCTGGACACATAGTAGGTACTATAAAAAGCTATTCCCATTATTATTGTTATTATTAATATACATACTCTATATAAAGCTAGTAGCATTTGTATATTATATTGAAATATAATATATACATGTATTATATCAACTTCTCTTTCACAGATTATGTTATGGAAAAATTTCTGGTGCTTCCATATGATAACATAAGATCTCTTTTAAAAATGTATTAAGCCAAAAGAAATTTTAAAAGCATTTAAAATAACATTTTATTAATCATCAGGGATGTTTTTGGAAACTATTCCAATATGTTGCATTGGAAGCTTTAAAAGAAAAATGTTCCATATAGACACATGTTCTGTCTAAGCAGGGACACTCTATTTTTAAAATTGTTAACCATGCCAAAAATATTTCTGAAGTCATTAAGTAATTGTATTTGAATTTCAAATAGTTTTTATTATGTCACACGATTACACCATATCAATAAACATACTACAAAAAAAAAAGGTAAAGCGAGAATTAGTCTTCCCCATTATTCTTTCTTTTATAAAAGTCATTTTCTCAAAAGTAAACCACAAAAAATTACTTTTTGAACAGATTAAAAATCTGGCTTCACTAATAAAACTAGGTGGGTATATTCAAGATAAAATGGATGATATTGTGACATATTTTCAAAAATTGGAGGAGACATTTAAATGATTCTTGACAGACTCAAGGAGAACACAGAGTAAATGTTAGAATTGGGACAGGAACTCAAGCTTTCTTGCTTCAAGGTCAATGTTCTTATTTTTTGATAGAAACAGCATTAGTCTTTTCAGTCTGTGTCTACATGACACCAAAATAACTAGCTGAAAGTAGAAATATTTGGTCAGTCAACCCCCTGATTACATAGTTTTAAACATAATGGATATGCTCCTTTCCTTATCCATACTGAAAAAGGGCCATGGGTTGTATATGTGTATGACCTGCTATGTTAAATGTAAAATAGCAGAAATTATTTCATCATTGTCAATTCAACAATAATTACAATTATTTTTTTGTCTCTACAACTGCAAAGTGGTGCTATTCCATTGTTGTGCTGGGCTTCAGCATGGTAGTACAATATTAGGTTCAGACTCAGTATTCTTGGGTTCAATCCCAGCTCTGCCAATTTATACTTGTGTAACCTTGGGCAAGCTGCTTAAATTCTCTTGAATCCTGATTTGTCAAATGAGAGAAAGAGGATCCCATTAGATGGCCTCCAAGATCCCTTATAGTTCTAAATCTATGATCCTACAACTCCTCCACCAACACAGATAGCAACCTGATTATGAAAATACATCTTAAAGCATTGTTGAGACTCAGAAAGATTAGGTCCCTTACCCCTGGTCATACAGAAGGGGGTCTTTAACTTTATGAGTGTGTGTATGTTGTGGACCTCTTAGCAAAGCCAATGGTAAAGCTTATGGATCCCTTCTCAGGATAATGTTTCAAAATGTATAAAATACAATAGAAAGGAATTTTTTAAAGCATTACAAAGGAAACAAAGTATATTGATTACACTTCTTAAAATATGTTTGTTGATAGATAGATAGATAGATAGATAGATAGATAAATAGATAAATAGATGCATAGATACATAGATACATAGAAAGATAGTTAATGGACCCTAGGTTAAAATTCCCAGCACAAAGTCTATGACTTATTATAGTATATTAATGGGGTTAATTAAGGACAGAGTGTGGCTCATTATGATTTAATATTTGACAATGAATTGTACTTCTAAAAACATAATGAAGTATTTAGAATTAGCTGATGACTCTAACAATAAATAAACATGGAAGGTAGCTATGACACCATGATGCAATAGAGCT